CCTGAGCTCAGGCAATCCTCTCACCTCCACCTCCCAAAATGCTGGGATTATAGGCATGAGCCACCATGCCCAGCTGAACTATATTTTTAAGAAATCTTATTTCCTATGAAAAAAATGGTAAATGTTTCCCATTACAAAGAATTTATGTACAAATTCTTTAATATGGCAAACAATTATCAGTATTTATTAAACTACTGTGCATAAGGGACAAGATCCATGCAGTCAACGCATATTTATGCAGCATACTAGTAAAATGGAAAGATAATGGAAACACAGTATCACTTTTTTTTAGATATGAGGTCTCAGTCTTATTACATTGCCCAGTCTGGCCTCAAACTCCTTGGCAAGTGATCCTCCCACCTCTGCCTTCTGAGAAGCTGGGCCTACAGGCACGCCTTGCCCAGTAGCATCACATTTAATAACATCAATTCAACTACAAGCTCTTTTGCCCCTTCCACAAAGTAGACAGATATGGCTTGATTTAGTCAATGGCCTATTCCCTTTCAAACAAGACCCTGATGTCTCCTATGCCAGAGAAAGGGAGGTTACACAGAAGTGAAGAGAAACTAAAGAAAGAGACTCAGACTCAGCTTTTCAGCTTCCCAATACCAGATCTTGAAAATTTAAAGGTTTTCACAGATACTTTAACAAAATGCAATGCAAGCAAACACCAAGCAAGATAACAGTATGATTTTACTAAAATACTTGAAATGTTTTCATTAGAACAGTAGTTTCAAAACAAGAGCAATTTTGACAACTTCTTGAGATATTCTTGATTTTTACAAGCTGAGGAGGTAATGGGTATCTAATACGTAGGGACTGGAAATGCTGCTAAACATCCTTCAATACACTAGAGCCCCCACAATAAAGACTCATCTGGCCCAAAATATCATACCAAAGCTGAGAAGCCTGGCTCTACAGACATACTGTGCCAAATACAGAGGGTTAACTTCAAACACAAAGAATGCACCAAATTCTCAGGAAATGTTGTTTACCTATCTTGCCTCCAATACTTATTGCTAAATCTCTAAACTTATTTTTCCCCAATTTTGCTTTTCTTTTTTATTTTGAGTCAGTCTCACTCTTGTCACCCAGACTGGAGTACAGTGGCAAGCTCACAGCCACTGCAGCCTCGACCTACTGGGCCCAGGTGATTCTTCCGCCTCAGCCTTTCAAGTAGCTGGAACTACAGGTACGTGCTACGACGTCTGGCTAGTTTTTTTTTATTTATTGTAGAGACTTGGTCTCACCATGTTGTTCAGGCTGATCTCGAACCCCTGAGCTCAGGTAATCCACTTGCCTCTGCCTCCCAAACTGCTGGGATTACATGCTTAAGCAATCACGCCTGGCTCCCTTAATCTTTCAACAAATTGCACAAATACATATAATATCTTTTTTTTTGAGTTGGAGTCTCACTCTGTCGCCCAGACTGGAGTGCAGTGGCCGCTCCCGGCCACCGCAGCCTCTACCCACTGGGCTTCCGCTTCAGCCTTCCAAGTAGCCAGAACTACAGGCGCGTGCTACCACGCCCAGCTAATCTTTGATTTATTGTAGAGATGAGGTCTCGCCAAGTTGCCCAGGCGGGTCTCGAACCCGCGGGCTCAGGCAATCCACTCACCTCAGCCTCCCAAAGACGCGAGATTACAGGCTGAGCCACCAAGTCCAGCTACATATAATATCTTTATTGGAAAATAAACATTAGTACTATCACACTTAATTTCCTTGATTAACTGCTACCACATAAATAATAAATAAAAATAAATAGGGCAACACCCTCGGGTCCCCTCCCACTGTGGGAGCTTTTCTGTCCTCAATAAATCCTGCTTTGAAAAAATAAATACATATATAGGAAATAAATATGGCAAATTTTTTCAAAGCTGTGAATTTGGTTCCCTATAAATTCTACTTGCTCTTAGTCATCTAGGGCATAGTGGACTTGAATAGAGTCAGGTACCAAAGTACCATTTAATATATAAACAGTATGGGTCCCCTTATCTAGACCCCATATTTCAGGAGCATACAAATACACTGTCTCTTTATTGACTATTTTTAGATTTAACTCCTCCATATTTGTTTATTCATTCAAGCAAGCACACTTACTGAGGGTCTACCATGTGCCAAGCAACCTGACTACAAAGATCTGACAAGGTCAGGTGGTGGCTCACACCTATAATCCCAGCACTTTGGGAGGCTGAGGTGAGAGGATTACTTGAGCCCACAAGTTGGAGATCAGCCTGGGCAACTTGGTGAGACCTCATCTCTACAATAAATAAAAAAATCATCTGGGTGTGGTGGCTCATGTCTGTAGCTCCAGCTACCTGGAAGGCTGAGGTAGAAGGATCACCTGAGCCCAGCACTCCAGCCTAGGTGACCGAGTGAGACTTCAACTCAAAAAAAAAAAAAGATATGACAAAAATATTTTACCACACTCAAATAAAAAGACAAACAGCTAAAATACAAAATGTTATGTGCTATAAACAGAAGTATCAAATAAGCGTTACGAAAGCTTTCAGGAGGGGGAATGCCAAGAAAGGCTTTCTAGAAGATGATGATGCTTGAACTGAGAAAATATCACAGAAAACATGCCCTGTTCACATTTTACTATTTAGACTAGTTATCTTTTTCTCTTACCCACTATTAGTTTTCAGTTTATGTTTTGCCACCTAAACAAGAGCACAATGACAATCTGATGTGAACAGACCAAAGTAGCAACTAATTCAACTTCATCAAAAAAAAATTTTTTTTTTTTTTTGAGTCAGAGCTTCACTCTGTCACCACCCCCAGAGTGCAGTGACACAATCACAGCTCACCACAGCCTTGACCTCCTGGGCTCAGGTGATCCTTCTGTCTTGGCCTCCTAAGTAGTGCCTGGCTAATTTTTTTTTTTTTTTTTTTTGGTTGAAACAGGGTCTTGCTATGTAGCCCAGGCTAGTTTTGAGTTCCTGGCCTACAGTGATCCTCCTGTCTTGGTCTCTCAAAGTACTAGAATTATAAGAGTGAGTCCCAAGGCCAGGGGCGGTGGCTCACGTCTATAATTCCAGCACTCTGGGAGGCTGAGGTGAGAGGACTGCCTGAGCCCAGTGGGTTTGAGACCAGACTGGGCAACTTGGTAAGACTTCATCTCTACAATAAATCAAAAAGTTAGCCAGGCGAGGTGGCATATGTCTGTAGTTCCAGCTACTTGGAAGGCTGAGGCTGAAAGATCACCTGAACCCAGCAGGTCAAGGTTGCAGTGGCTGTGAGTGTGCCACTGCACTCCAGCCTAGGAGACAAAAAAAAAAAGTGTGAACCCTGCATCCAGCAACTTCATCAAATCTTAGGAAAGAGTCGAAAAAATTTTTTTTTAGTATTTTTGAGTCAGAGTCTCACTACCACCTAGGCTGGAGCGCAGTGTCACACTCACCGCCACCGCATAGGGCTCAAGTGATCCTTCTGCCTCAGTCTTTCAAGTAGCTGGAACCACAGGCATGCACCACTATGCCCAGCTAATTTTTTTGATTTATTGTAGAGATGAAATCTCACCAAGTTGCCCAGGCTGGTCTCGAATCCCTGGGCTCAGGCACTCCTCTCGCATCCACTTCCAAAGTGCTGGGATTACAGGCGTGAGCCATCACATTCAGTGAAAAAATAATTTTATCCAAGTTATTTCCCAGCGCCTCCATCCAGTCCAGTTTGCCTTTTACATAGCCTGACTTCTTCCACCAAATAAACATACTGTCACCTGGTTCATTAGAGTTTTTGAATTTATAAAACTGTCACAGGGAATGACCAGGTAGTTTCTTTCTTTCTTCCAGGTAGTTTCTTCCTCCAGAGTTTCATATTCTCACTTTATTCTACCACAATACTTCACTTTTAATTCTGTGCCTAAGAGGAGCCATGAGTTCCAGGTTACAATAACTACAGAGACTACTGTCTAGCTTTCTGAGTCTTGTTGCTGTTTCCTTTCTATTCCAGTACTGTTGTAAGTCACTACCTGGACTCTATTCTTCTGAGTACCCAGCAGCTGACACAATTCAAAAATTCAGATTTTTTAGAAAGAGAAACTAGCCATGACTTGCAGTTTTATCGATCTGTTCCAATACATAGCATCACTGACATTCTTTAACCAACTTTTAAGTTTCGCTCTTGAGGACCGGGTCAGGGTTCCACTAACGAAACCATTACCTTAACCATGAACAAAGATGGTAACAACCGAATCAGAAAGACTACAACTACTTTTAACGACCGAATGCTCACCCCCAAAGGGAATCCTTAACAACGGAACATCCAGGGAGGATGAGGTACTAGATAGAAACATCTCTAGACTATTTGGAGATGTCCCTGGTTAATCCTGTCTCTTACTCCGGGCCTCAGTCTCTCAATTTACAAAACTTGTATATGATGCAGGGTAAAGGGACTGACAACTTCCAAGGTCCTTATGGCTACCGTCATCCAGAAACCCAACCTTTCCCCTCATCTGGGCTTTACACGGAACACGTGGGAAAACAGAAAAGAATCTTTTGCTTCCCTGGAGCGACCCAAATCCTCAGATATTATCTTAAAAAGCTAACGAACTTCTGACTCACCCACCATAACGCCCGGGCTGCCCATTTCCCTTCAGGAGAAGCCAAGGCAAATAAGGCCTATCCCGCCCGACGGTCAAGGAAGTGCCCAGAGACCGTATTCAGGGTGTTACGACGCTGCCCCCGCGAAAAGGCCAGCCCACCGCCGAACGAATGAATGAGTACAACCAGAGAAATGGATGCTTCCTCTGCGTGGGCAGCACACTGGAGCCCCAGGCCTAGACCCCGCCGTAGCAGATTCCCTCCCAGGGCCTGAGGAGCCGGGCCTAGGGGCCGCAGGGTCGCGGGCCCCGCCCCTCTCAGGCCAGAGGGTGCGCGCCGGGCGCGAGACTTCGGAGCTGAGGAGGGCCTGGGACGCCCCGCGCATCCGCCCGCCCGCCCGCCGGGGAGGAGGAGCCTGCGGGCGCCCGGCCACCGTCACTCCGGCTCTCGACTTACCGCGGCGCGGTGGGGAAGAAGTGTCAGGAGTGAGGGCGCAGGCCCGTCCTCCACCCGCCGCTCACAGAGCAGCGCGCGGCCGCCACGAAACCGTCACCGCCGCCTCCACCACAGCTACCGACCGCCGCTTCGGGCGCAGCGCGCAGAGGGCCCGACTGCGTCACACGCCGTCCGCCGTCAGAGGCTCGCTCCAGGAGCTCCGCCCTCGCTGCCCGCGCATTGGCAAGAGGGGCCGCCACTCTGGTTCCACTCTGTTATTCATTGGGCAACGAGTCTTTTGAAACCGAACGTGAGAGGCGGTCTTCGGGAGAAGGGGAGAGAGGGAAGAGGAGGGGCGTAAGGAGTTAGGGGGAGGAATAGGGAAGGAGCGGTGGGAGGGACATGGGGGAGTCCCGCCCCTCACAGCCGCGGTTGGCTGGGAGAGAGACTTGACGTCACACAAGGCTTCTCGAAGCGGGCTTGTGAGTGGCTGGGTAGGGGAGTACCGGCGGGGTGTGGGAGAAGAGCGGTGACGCTACATCGAGACTCCGCCCTTTTCCTTGGAGCGGAGAGACACGGGCTGCGGAAGCTCGGGCCAATCAGAGGGAAGGCCCCGGGATGACACGGTAACTATTCTACCCTTTCCTTGCCCCGGTGCGCGGGCGTTGATGGGAAGGCTTCCTAGTCGCCCTGCCAGCGCTTCCTGGCCAGAGCACGTGCGCAACTGGAGGACCCTCCCGGGCTTCCGATTATCCACATAGCTTTCCTGGCTGCTCCGAGGCCTTAAATCCCGGCCTTCTTGTCTCCTGATCCCTCTCCGAATGCCTGCGATGGACATCAGGAGAATTAGAGATGCCCCCAGAGAATGGCCCACCATAGGGTGGTACGAATGAGGATTGTTGGAACTTCTTTCCTAGATGCACATTGAGAACCCCTATTTATTCTTAAAGGACTGGTTCAAACGTTTCCTTCTCTCTGTGATATGTTTGCCGGCCTTTCCTAGCAAGCTTGGGCTAATGTTTGGGCAGGTCTTTGTCACTTTGTATTCTATTATTTACATTCACATTTTTTGCTTCTGGTTCTTAGAGGTCCTCCTAGGGCCTAGCTCAGAGCCTGATACTACAAGAGTGAGAGATGGGCATGTTCTAGAAAATAGACCTCTCTAGTGACTTGAGAGTCACACAGAATAGCTACCCCTCCACCACGTTTTTCTCAGACATCAAGACAGGCTTTGCCTAAAACAGATGAATGTAAATCTCTCAGTGTTTTCATTGGTAGCAAGAGATTCATTGTAAAGATGGGATACGGTAGTGGATGGAAGAAATATGGTACTAGCCGGGCGTGGTAGCGCGCGCCTGTCGTTCCAGCTACTCGGAAGGCTGAGGCGGAAGGATCGCCGGAGCCCAGCAGGTCAAGGCTGCAGTGGCCGGTAGCGGCCACTGTATTCCAGTCTGGGCAACAGAGTGAGACTCCAACTCAAAAAAAATAAAAAATAAAAAGAATGCTTCAGGGAGGAATTTCCTGTGACCCTGGTGATTTCTAAAGGAGTCTTATTAGGTACTCTGGGACATGAGATTCACAGCTCATCATTCCCAAGGCCTTCTGAGTGGGGAAGGACATCTTTGTGGAGCCAGGGGCTCCTGATCCACTCACTCCCACTCTTTTTTTTGAGTTGGAGTCTCGCTCTGTCATCAAGGCTAGAATGTAGTGGCACACTTAACAGCCACTGCAGCCTCAACCTGCTGGACTCAGGTGATCCTTCTGCCTCAGCCTTCCAAGTAACTGGAACTACAGGTATTTGCCACCATGCCCGGCTAATTTTTGATTTATTGTTGTTGTTTTTTTTTTTGAGTTGGAGTCTCACTCTGTCACCCAGACTGGAGTGCAGTGGCCACTCCCAGCCACCGCAGCCTCGACCTGCTAGGCTCCGGCGATCCTTCTGCCTCAGCCTTCCAAGTAGCTGGAATTATAGGCGTGCGCTACCACGCCCAGCTAATTTTTTAATATATTGTAGAGATGAGGTCTCGCCAAGTTGCCCAGGCAGGTCTCGAACCCATGGACTCAGGTAATCCACTCACCTCGGCCTCCCAAAGTGCTGGGATTACAGGCTGAGCCACTGAGCCTGGCCTATTGTAGAGATAAGGTCTCGCTAAGTTGACCAGGCTAATCTCAAACCCCTGGACTCACCTCGGCCTCCCAAAGTGTTGGGATTACAGGTGTGAATCACCATACCCAGCCTACTCTTAATTCTTGCTACACCCCTTTCAGTTATCATCTTCCTTCTTCAACTCTAAAGACAGGGAGTTGGGCAACCCCCTGGAGTCCCCTCCTGCTCTGGGAGTTTTTCTGTTCTCTCAATAAATCCTGCTTTCTAAAAAAAGACAGGGAGTTTGCTGCATACTCACAAAAGCTTAGGAGCCAAACCTTGTCCTGGGCATGAAGAGCCCAGAAATGTTCACAGCTCAACACTTTGCTCTGGCCAAGAAAGATAAAGGTAAGGAAAGTCTGGCTCTATCCTAGGAGCATCCAGAGTCTCATATAGATGACTTGAGGACTCTCTCTGTAGCTATGAAGGATTGGAGCTCAGGGAGGATATAGATCTGTAAGATCTACAGAATCATGGAGGGGCAAGAGTTTTCCTTCCAGAGTGATAGTTCTAGATTTCAATTGTTTATTTATTTGTTTGTTCATATTATTTTTTGAGTTGGAGTCTCACTCTGTCACCCAGACTGGAGTGTAATAGCACACTCACGGCCACCCCAGCGTCGATCTGCTGGGTTCTAGCAATCCTTCTGCCTCAGCCTTCCAAGTAGCTGGAACCACAGGTGTGTGCTTCCATGCCTGGCTAATGTTTTGTGTGTGTGATTACTGTAGAGATGAGGTCTCACCGTGTTGTCCGGGCTGGTCTTGAACCTGTGGGCTCAGGCAATCCTCTTGCCTCAGCCCCCCAAAATGCTGAGATTACAGGCTTGAACCGCCGTGCCGGGCCTATTTATTTATTTGAGATGAAGTCTTGCTGTGTTGCCTAGGCTGGTCTCAAACTCCTGGGCTAAAGCAGTCCTCCCATCTTGGCTTCTCAAAATGCTGGGATTACTAGCGTGAGACACCATGCCCAGCCTGATTCTAGATTTTTTTTTTTTTTTTGAG